TGTACCTCTGGTGCAAATTACTGACCTCTGTCATCATTTTAGGTGGGGGAACTTGCACAATCGGTGGCTGACTAAATACTTTTTTGCCCCACTGTACTCATGTGATGCTGGAAGCAGTCTCAAATAAATGCAGTATTATTATTTGACTGACATGCTAAAGGCTGAGATTCTCAGCTACTTTACTGAGCTCTTTTAAAATTTAATTACTACACAAAGAAATAAAGTTTTACTAAGATTTTCTAGGTTTTGGGAAGACAGCCAGGAAGTCAGGAAAATAAAGTAAAACATGGTAGGTCCTGCTCATTTCAAGGACTTGTATATTTTAAATTTTTGCTTTACTAGTCTTGGCTAACTTTGCAATAGCAGGTGTTGACTTTTATTGCATTAGGGGTTTCTGTTTAATGTCACTCTCAATTGACTGTGTTATTCTGCATTATTAAAAAACGAGAGCCTCGATACCGTGACACTGAGAAGTCAGAGTCATTAAGCAAGCTGGGGATTCAAAACACAGTGAAGTCAAGTGTGAAATATGAAGACTACTTCTCTTGACGGATGTGGAAGCGGACAGCAAAGTAATCAAGCAACAACAACAACAACAAAAAAGCAAAATATAAATTTAAATATAAACCCTGGTGGGTTTATATGCTGTACCGCCAGTCGAGCCGATTGCTGACAGTGTATTGTGCTTTTCCACATTGTTAAAAAACCAGCTCACATAGAGGTAAAACATAATTTGCTCTACTGAATTAAAAAGTTCACCTCCGATGTGCAGGTCTCTGCTCGGAAAGGGCTCGGCTCTGACAGCCGACTGTACTACTGGGTCAACAACCGTGGATGGAGCAGCCTAAATCCACCCGGCCTCATTTGCAAATTCTCAATTAAAGTGAAAGTGCATCCAGGTCAGCAGGCGTCTGAATGGATAACAAAGATCAACAGCCTGACTCTAATGATGAGGGCTCAGGGTATGCACACAGCTGAGACTCAGTGGGGAAGCTGCAGCACCAAGAAGCTGGCATGGGAAATGAGAGAAAGGTGCGATACTGTCAGGTCGAATCACTGCTTAATGAAGACAATAAATCAGGTCTTTAATAAAGAGCACAAATCAGCTTCTATTATGTGATATTAATTTTGCTTAAAAATATTAAAATCCTAAATCAATAAACCTCTTTAAGTTATCTTAAAAATACAATGAATTAAAATGTATGTGAAAAATGCGTCAAAAATAATCTGTATGTTCAGCATCACACTTTCAAATTCAAATTTGATTAGTGTTCAACGCAGCGATTGAGGTTATCTTCAATGTTAAAAATAGAAATGGTCGTTATTACAAGTATAAGTTCACATCACGGCAGCAGCCTGTGTTTAGGTTGCTATAGAAACCTCAGGTTCATACGATTACTTTTGGCTTTATATAAAGCTTCAAAACACGACTGAAATAAATCAGATGACTCTTTTTTTTTCTTCTTTTTTTTACCTATTCCACTTGTTGCGAAGAACAAACTAAACTCCACTAACATAACTAGCATAGGCTAATGGTAACACATTTAAGAAATTAATTAAAAATAACATTATAAGAGAGAGAAAAAAATAGAAAACATCACAAGGTGGATATACTGCAGAGTATAGATAAATATGTATGTGTGTATGGCATGAAGATGAACAATACAGGGCAACCACTGTCTATACTGGCTTAAAGGGTGACTAAAATACTGGATTTAGATTAATGTGCCCTTTCAGAGATTCAGATAGGTTTTATCCATTTAGTTTTCTATTGTTAGCTATCTGCATAAAAAAGCTCTGAGGTTAGCATATTCACTGGCCTGTCACAAGGTTTCTATCTACCATAATCTCATTTCAGAAATAGGATCTGTAACATTACTGGCTTCATCAGACTGTCACCATCACGGCGCTTTTGTCATGTGAATGTGTCACTTTTACGTTAATGATCCTCATAACTCTATACAGACATATCCATGACAGTAACAGAGCCACAGTAACCAGGCAATGTTTTTCATACACTCAAGAATACAGTGCCTTCAAAAGAGGAATATATAAGGTCTCAGTTTTCTTGCTAGTTTTGTAGTTACTTAGAAAGAACTGCGATGAAGCTCGCTACCTGAGGAAGACTAAAGTATCTGCAGTTAGTCACAAACAGCAAATTATTTAACAGTAGGATATAAAGCGTGATGGAGTTTTGTCAAATCCTGACTCTACAGTCTTTGTGGATGGATCTTCAGTGCAGTAAAGGTTTTACTTAAAAGTTGTTGTTTACAGATGTTTCAATTTGTAATAGGAAACTGTTAAATGAGGGAAAACTCAACATCTATTAAATGTGTTTTGTGATTTTGGAGAGGTCTAGTTTAAAGCAACTGAACTATGTCTTTTGTGCTTTCACTGCAGGTGCCAAAATGTGGAAAAAACATTTATTTTTTTTCCTTAAATGAGCTTTGAGACTTCCGCTTATCATTAGGGAGATTATCATGAGCATTATATATCTGATTCTACATCTGGCAGAGATTTATTTTTGCCTCATGGTAATGGTGTTTAGGGCTTTTGCAAAACCTGTCATGTTTGTGCGCTGAGTAACTCTTGAGTATCCACAGGAGACTAGGGTTTCACAATACTAGGATTTAAATGTTTCTGCTACTGTAAACATTACGTCCGGATCAACAGAATGAACCTTTTGGGACTAGGGTTTAAACTTGACACGGATACCCAGGAAAATCCTTGACACCATTTTCAATACCACAGGGGAAAAAAAAGACAAAATAAAATCAAGATGCACTTTTTTCAGTTACGTAAATGAGAAAACTATTTGTCAAGCTCTCTGCCATAGTGAGAAACAAAACAGAAGCTGTAAAATAACCATCTAACCAATTCTGGGTTGCGCGGAGGCTGGAGTATATCACACATTTTAAAAGAAAAGATCAGGTAGTTCAGGAACTTTTTAATACTACAATGCTACATTTCTTTTTTAAATGGGACCTTTACTCACTTTTAAATTCCTCATAAAGTGTAGTTCAGTGGTATGAATCTCAACGATTGCTGAAGTGTTCAGCTGCTAGTGAGGGGAGGGGGCTGTGATAAGGATGTTCAAGGCCCACTTCCCCCTTGGAATGAAAAGTTCGTATAAATCAATGCAAAGTTGTTTGGAGTGATCTGTCCTATGACATAACATTTCTATCCTGATAAGCACGTTTTCATCTTGTTAGCGGTTGTGGGATCAAAATAAAAAAAATTATGAACACTTTTGCCCAAAACTGCCGGGTACGTCATTTTGACCCCAAAGGAATTAATGTAAAACTACTACTGCTGCACGCCTGGTTGCCTAGCAACATTATTTTTTTTTACACATAATTAGATTTGAAAGCTGCTATAACATGACCCAAAATTAGATAGACGTTATTGATAACTCTGCATGCCTTTCTTCATCAAATCCTAGAATCTTCTCTGTGGTCTTCATCATTTCCTCCTCTCTGGCAATTCAATATTCAGTGTTTCCAAACCATCTCAACCTTGCCTCTCTAACCTTGCCTCCAAAACACTCAACCTGTTCTGATATACCAATTTCTAATCCTGACTGTTCTGGTTGCTCTCACTGAAAACCTTAACATCTTCAACTCTTCCAGGATCATTCATCACAGCAGGTCTCTAATTACTATCTTGTAAATTTTCACTCTATTCTCCTTCTCCTCTCTAGTGCACTGTCAGTTGCTTTATATGGTCGACACCAAGCATTTAAACACATCCACCTTCACTACCTCTGCTCCTTGCAGCTTCTTGTAACACCTGTCTCCCTCTCATTTACATAGGTATTCTGTCTTGCATCTCCTGACTTTCATTTGTCTTCTCTCTAGAGGATACCTCCACCTCAGACAGACCACAACAATGTCTATGAATATACAGTCCACAGAGACTTAGCTCAACTGTCAGCCTATCCATCACCATTGCAAACAAAAAGGGGCTCCGAGGCGATGCCTGATGAACCCATCTGTCACTCCTATCACACACCTCCCCACTGCCTTGCTGTCCTCAAACATCTCCTGCACAGAATACTTCTCTACACTCCTGACTTCCTCATAGAACACCACAGATGTTCTCATGTTATCCTATCATATGTTTTCTCTAGATCCACAAAGAAACAGCGCAACTCTTTCTGACCTCTATACTTTTCCATCAACACCCTCAAAGCACATATTTCATTTGTAGTGCTCCTTCTCAGAATAAAGCCATACTGTTGCTCACTGAACTCTTCTAACATATCTTTAACAACTCTTTCCCATATTCTCAAAATTTAACCAACTTAACCATTTTATTCCTTTGCACATCCTTGTTCTTGAAAATCAACAGCAGTACACTTCTTCTCCACTCCTCAAAGATCCTCTGACTCTCCAACTTTGTGTTAAACAGTCTGAATAAAAAGCTCACTGCCCTCTCTCCTAGACATCTCCATCCCTGCACAGATGTGTTACCTGGGCCAACCATCTTTTTACCACGTGATTCACTAACCTTTCTCCATCCATCCATCCATCCATCCATCTTTTCATTTTCATCATTCACGAGCTTCTCAATGTACTCCACCTTGACACTCTCTTCACTCGTTGGTACATTTTAATATCCCTAATTTGCTGCACATCCTTTCCAGGTCGATCTTTCTGCCTAACAAAAGTTCTTTTCCTCAGAGGTGGCGTGGAATGCGGGTATGGAAATCTCGGTGAACATATATGATTGAATGTTTGTTTATTTGTTTGTGGTACTATTTGTACATGTATGTGCATCCGGCTGACTCACCTGCGAGGTAAGGGGTCAGGACAGTGTGTGAGGGGGCTGCTGGCAGTCGGAGGAGGAGGCTCCCTTCGGCTCCTTAGCGACTGGCTCCTCTGCACCTGCCTCAGCACACTACTTTTTAGGTCCAGCAGCGTAGTCATGATGTTTCACTGCAGAGTGGAGACAGGAAGCACATGTTAAGACTCTGCAACTCGCTGCAACCCCTGAGAGTTAGTAATTTGCAGGCTCAAATCTGGGAAGGTTTGTCATAATACATTTGATTTTAGGTACAAGACAATATTCATAAAACTACTTGTTTCTAGAAATACACTTGGTCTGAAGGCTTCTTTTAGTTTAATCAGCTGCATAATCACCCTCTTTCACCTTTAACATAATTATTCTCTTCCTCAACAGGAGCTGTGTTCTATTTCTGTCTGCACCTAACCGATGCTGCAGGGTATGCAATTTATCTTTCACCTTTATGTCTGGCCTGCTCAGAGCCAATTGAACCCTTTTTTTTCTACTGCACTTTGTAAAAAAATATGCAAAACAAAAGAGACAGAGTGGAAAAACAAGGCTGCATAAAAGTAATGGTCACAAAAGATGTTTTATAATTAAAAGAACCATAAAATATATGTTAAAAAAATGAGTTACGTAGAAGCTAAATTTGGAAATGAATGTCTTAATTATAGACCTGGTCTTTGTGCGGATGTAATTTTATGCAATTCTACATCGTACTGCTAAAACAGTTCAGATTCCTCGAGGCGCAGACTCCGCTTGATCTTCTAGCGTGTCAGGAAACCAGACATGAGTAAGAGGTAGAGCATCTGTGGACTGGACTGAGTTTTCCACTTTACTGGTATCTGGTTTACAATAATTTTAGGTAAGTGGTAGTTGGCAGTGTAATATCTGCATGAATGCCAGGAACAAGGATTTCTTAGCAGAACTTTAGCCAGATCATCACACCATGTTCACACTACAATATGAGCCAGCCTTAGCTTTTCACAGGCATCAGTGAGCTATGGCCATCCCAAAACCTATAATGGGCTTAGCATTTGTCCTTCTTGGGAATTAGTAGGTAGTTATTAGGTACTAACAACTGCATATCACAAAACCGGCTGCTTTGACCCTGCTGCTTGCTGTTATAACTTGCTCTTTTGCTAAGTCATCCACATTTTTTCCTGCTTCCAGTACATCAAGTACAAACTGACTGTTCACTTTGTTCTAGACTAGGATTGTACTCGCTTGCAGACACTAACACCGACAGCTATACACACGTTAACCAAGTATTTGTTCCTGTTATACATTTTAGAAGTCAGTGTCTGCACAGGCTGTCACAATAATTCAGCAGGCACACATAAATTTTCATGGAGCTATGATTTTGACAAATATATAACACATAGACCTGAGCAGACTTTCTCTTACATACAATACTTATGTATCCCACTCCTTATCAACTACTATTGTATCAACATAATCAGTGTTATTCACTTCCTTTTAATTTGCTGCTAATCTGTCTAGCATGTATTAACCCTGCCTGCAGTGACTGGGGAAAACATCTTGCATAATCAAAACCAGTTTACATGAAAGCAGTAAATATTAATGTAAACGTAATTATTCAAGTTCTCATACCTGACCATTTTCGAAGAATTGATTTGGTTTTTTTTGTTTGTTTGTTTGTTTAAGCCACTTAATGTTGACTTAAAATAGACAAATAAGACAACTTAAAAAATGATTTTTAATTCCTTTAGGCACGTTATTACTAGGTGCCTAATGCAAAAGTACAATTTGTTCTGAGGTATGCCAAATTACACAAGAACTTATGAGATCTTATGGAGGGATGAGTGCAAATTTGAACTCTTTAGTTCAAATGTTAAGCAGTATGTGCATGATCCACCCGACAATACCTGATTTGATTGGCAACATATTCATTTTTCAGCTTAACAATGATCCCAAACATACTGCCAGTGCAGTAAACGGAAAGAAAAACACACAATGGAACACTATTGGTCAATAAATCTCTTAATAAATAAAGATTATATTCCCAATTTTCCTAGCAAAATATAGACAAATAATGGGTGGCTGATGTAGCTATGATGTAGCTGCATTTTGGGGGATTCAGCATTGTGTGATGAATGGGAATTTTAACATCTCGAGATTTTGCAACTTTTGCACATGATTGTTTTGCATTTCTTGGCAATTAACGTTATTGTTTTGTCGCTTAAATTTGATTAATAAGATTGATAGCAAGTGTTGCGTCTCTTAGTAAATAAGATGCTGGCAGCTTCAGCTGCTCTTCTTGGCTTAGCTCACAGACTGATAACTGAACTGGCTGCCTTTACCCTCTGTTTTATGTACATTACACAAAACAGATATTACGGAATGTGGTGACTAATGATAGGTGGATTTTGAGAAATCAGAGATTGGCAATTCCCTATAGGTTGGAGCTCAGAAGACTACCAGCTGCTTTCTGTCGTTTTATATTCATTTTTGGGACAAGTGCTATCAGTCCTCTCATCTGTCTTTTGGCTAGAAAGTCAGGATCACAAAAAATTCTTTATTAATTCCATCTGGGTAAAAAACAAAACAAAATCCCCTAAAGGAACTTAGTGATCTCAAACTGACCTTGGTCATTCAATTATTCTGGATGATGAATGTTTTAACTTGTAAATGACCGATTTGTAACAGCATTAATTAGACTTATTGAACTAAGGAGCCATTCATCAAGCTATGCAACACACACACTACTGAAGCATTCAATGAGTGGACAGCTGAGCTACACAGGATGAAACCAGGTTGACTGTTATCTTTGCAAACAATAACTAAGAGTTGTTTGCATATAATACATTTAATTAAACAAGATTATGTCCAATAGTTCATTTCTTATATAGTTATTTCATAACATGACAGGTTTTTTTTTTCAACAAATTCAAAAATGGTATCTGAGCATATATAAAGAAAGCTATCCTCGGGCTGTCATGAGTATGAAATATGAATTTAGAAATCTGAGCCTATGCAACATCCTGAAAGAGATTGGCACTGTGTTGCTAAGCGATTCTCTGAGACTGAGTAGTTCTCTCTCAAAGCCAATTGTCATAAAGTGAATTCTCATTTTGGCTTCATAGTGACTTTCAAGTGTAACTAAATTATATGTCCTAATAACAATATCATATGCTGTCACAGCTCCGTGCAGAGCCAAACAATCAAACAAATTCTTCTGGATGGAAATATCACATGCTGTCATTTTCACCATGTAAAGGAATAACACAAATATGTGAAGGAACCACAATATAAAGCTTAAAATATCAAGAATATCAAAAATCAGCTGTGGTTAGCCTATAACCACAGTTTGCACCAAAACTATGGCACACAAAAAATATTTTTTTAAGCTTCAGTTTTTTTTGTCTTAGTCAAGCAAAGAACTTCATTATGTATGTCGGAAGCACGTGCTGTTTATTAGGACTTAATCTACAAATGCTTGCAATTTAATATTAAAGTTAGGGTGTGGATGATTAAACATGTTTTATTTTTAATTGTGATTCTAGGCTCTAGTGATTATTTAAAAATACAATCAAGAGACGATGATTATCCTGCTGTATTTCATTTCCTGTCTTGTTTTGTAGAGTGGTATCAGATGAACGGTTAACTCTTTTCACTCCATTTCCAGTCTTCAGTTTCACACACACTCTAACCAATTTCAACCTTGCTGACCAATTTCTAAAGGCAAAATATAACATCATATCAATTTGTTACTGATCCATAATAGGGGTAAATATCAATAGAGCATCATTTTGTGATATTTTACATGGTGATATTCTTTTCATACAAGGACACTAAATATCTATATTTTATAAAATAAATGTAAATACTAAGAAAAAGAAGGCTCATCTCAGACACCACTATTGTGAGATTACGTTAGCAAATTGACTCGGCCCAAAAAAACAACCAAACAAACAAAATAAATCCAACATCAGACACAATTAGCTTGATAAAGCTAGCTCCTAATAATGGCTCAGTCACAGGAGTCATCAGTCACAATTAAAAAATAAATAAATTGGTGGCTAAATGGTAATTACATGGAATTGTTTTGGGGTTTTTTTTACATCCTGGTACCGATCACTACTTGTGGTGACTAAATAGGCTTGGACCGACAGCAATCATCCTCAAAGAGATAACAATTATTTGCATATCTCACAATCTAATTTATAAATGCAGACAGATTGCCAACATTTTGCTGTCATTCTGAATTAGTCTTTATCAATGAGGACAACCTAAGGGCACTCAACTCAACATTTATGGCAGGTTTTGCTGACAGTGTCATCAAATGAGACAGCTTTATCTTTTTGATAAAACAGATATTGACAAACTTTGAATTTCAGGACATCATTTGCAGTTGAAGAAGGTTACAAATCTCACTATATGTTATTGCAATACTTACCATACTGAAAAATGTCAAAATATTGTGATCACATTGTATTTTGTGGTGGCTGGTGTGTCCCACCTCTGATGTTAACATACTGGTTTTTCCTGGAGTTTTAAGAGTGGCAAGCAACAAAGTAAAATAGTCTCAAATGACCATATTAAGACCTTATTCTTATTTTACTGTGTTATGAATTCAGCACACGCCTTTTCTTTGCAGCATTCCACTTTGACCTCTCCTTAAAAGCCCAAACCATGTTTTGAACACTTACTTCAGACAGCACATGACAGGAAATGAGCTTTGGTCAGCAAGATTGATCTAGAGGATGTAAAAGTCATAAGGAGGTTTTCAGAGGTAGACATCTGGAAACATGATTAATAGTTACCTGCCTGATCACCACCTGTCCTCCCTCTTTTGTGCCTGGATCAGACACAGGGGTATACCCTGACATTTCCCCCCCTGTGTAGATTGGACTTCAGGCCTCTGCAGTTCTTATCTGTGATTCATTCACTTGAATTATATGAAAAATTGTGATTTAGCAGTATATTATTTGCTCAGCCTTAACTGATGTTGATTACCAAACTTTCACAGGAACACACTACACTTATTAGCTGCCACATTTCTGAGCACTAACATTACATTTGTAATCACCGCAGCAGCAAAACAGTTTATAGTTGTGTTTACTTTTCATTTCACTCTTCATGTCAAAAGGCTTTACAATGATTGCAACCTCATTAATCACGCAGCTTG